CCCAGCGAGACATGTCGCCGTGTCAGCACCGATAACTTGGAACCGGCACTATATAGCCTCCACTTGTTGTCAACATTCCGTGATGCCCTGGATTGTCTTGAAATGGTTCCCAATTGCTGTCTACTTAACAATCAGGCTGAATACGTCAAACAAACCTAAATTGGAGAAAGAAATATGACTAATGGAATAGAATAATGAAACAGCAAGTTCTAAGGAGAAAGTGACGTGGAGCCCAGTGGTGAGTCAAGTCTCTCCACATGGAATTAAAAGACACGGCGGCGAATTTAGGAGGCAATATATAGATGCTAGAAAGGCACCTAAGGGATGAGATGAAATAAAATAGCTTTAGAGGGTTGTCAGTTTTAGCATGCGGACTTCGGGGTTTGGGCTGCAGCACTTTCTCAGTTGGGAGTGGACGGGGAGGAGCAGTGAGTCATAGCTACGTTTATTCAAGTTGAAGCCAAGGCGTTTTTGCGTCAACAGTAAATAGATTTGTACCGTTCTGGTGTGGAGATGTTGCTGAGTGATTCACTACACTGCATTTTGCCACTGTGGAAAAATACCACCTAATCAAAAGGCGTGGCCTCAATATCCTTAAAAAAAACTTTGCGTCGGTCAGTAAGGGCAAAAATGTATGCTGCAATGGGACGAGGATCAGTATTAAAGAAGTAGACTCCTGAACAGGCTTGGAGTCTCAAACTCGAAGTGTTTCAGGTATCGCGTGTCCCTGACTCCGCATAAGCTCACGGTCGTAATGTGGTAAAGAGGACGGGTAAACCAGTGCCGCTAAAAGGGAAACGGGGACTCTCACGGTGGAGACGAAGGCCATTTTTACTTTAGAATTGGCATCGGCAAACAATGTAATTTTCCTTAGTTGGTGAACTGCGAAATATCACCTCGGGGAAGGAATTTAATCTGCTGAAAAGCCATCAGCACTGCGCTGTATCTTTGTGACTACTTGATTTTCTGTAAATTTTAAAATAGCTTTAAAAGCGCGGAAAGTTCCATAGGTCACGGGCGTAATGAGGAACCCCCGTTTTAACTAAATTATGTAGGCGTTTCTCGCCGATTTCGGTCTTTGCCGTGGTTGGTTCAGAATGCCTTTGTATCATCAAATTTCCTGCGCCCCTTTGAATAACTGGTAAAAAGACCCTTGTGAGCTTGTCAGTATCAAACAGTTGAAACAAGTTGGCGGCTTGAATATGGTCACTACATTTAGGAAAAGAAAATTGAGTGCCAAAGGAACGAATCTAGGTTACGTGGAAATGAACGCGCAAAGGACGTTTTGCCCTCGATTAAAAAACTGGTTTCGTGTGGTTAGTCATCGATCTACATTTCAGTTTTCTCCTAACAACCGCTACCTTTCCGAACATTTTAACTGGAAATGCCAATGATAACATACATAGTGAAATCACGTTCTGCGGTAAAATAGTTTTAACCGTGCCGATAGGCGTCTTTCAAGACGCAATTGAAAAGACCTTGAGGATTGAGAATATGGGACTCGGCCAAACGTCGAGTTTACAAGAAAGGGTGCTGCATATAGGCGAACTCTGATCGCGTTTAACAAGCATTCAACCCCATTTTATTTCTTGCACCAACGCTTTTGGGTCGGGACTTTCGGCTCCTCGGAGCCTACTAAGTACCCAGGCCAATCAAACGAATATCATTTTCTGGGAAAGGGTCAAATCTGCACATCAGACAGCAGATAGACAAGGTTGAGATATCGCTTTGCCCGCACGGGCATAAGGCAGTCTGCATTTATTAAACTTACCATCAGACCTTTCTGCAATAACGTCCAGATCCTCCGAAGACAAACAGTGCTGCTGCTGGGAAATGAGCCTGCTGACGATTTGTCTTCTGGCCTCGGTACATGGCAGTGGTATGTACAGCTTCTTGACAAATCTCCGCCTAGCAGCCTCGTCCAGTTCTTGTGGTCTGCGTTACAAGATAACGGGGAGGAAGAAGTAAAAAGTGGACAGAATGGACTAGGATGTTTAGGTCTACATGGACGCTAGAACCACTCGCCAAGAGCTGCAGAGCATCTAACTGTTTTTTTGAGGGCACTAGTGTCTCGACATGTTCCACTGTTTCTAGATGTTACTCTAGAC